GGGGCGGCCAAAACACATTAAACTGGGAAAATTCTAGAGCAGTTTGAAGCAGTATTCAACACATTAAAACACTGAGAGAGTAACTCACATGTGGTAATTTTAACAGGTCTGCAAAAGAGCGGTATACAAAACTGTTTTCTAATGAACCTAACAAAGCTCAAAGTTTTCCAGTCAAAACTTTCAGAAATTTTAATTGGAGCTGAGTTCAAGAAGATACTCAGCTCATAGCTGGTTCTCTAAGTGCCTTCATCAGTCATTCAAAAGCTGTATAAAGGATGTTTAATGCAAATGTTCAAAACAGGTGTTTCTCTAAAACACTTCCTGGAATGATCACAATCTAGACTCTTTAGGGAGAAATCTATATTTGCAAACCCAGTACTAACACCTCAGAAAGTCTTAATGGGAACTACATTTGAGACAGTATTTTAAGATATTAGTAATCAAAGTAAGTTCAGAGGATGTACGAAGTCCAGTCTCTCAAACCAAAAAGCATGGTATCTTCATCTCTTAAGAGATTTATATCATACATTCTCAAAAAGTCACATACGTCGAAAATAAAAAATACACATATCCAAAAAGTTAATATACCTTTTCATCTTCCCACTGAAAAAAACTGCAATCTTTTCTATCTCTACAGGCAGAGCAGGCATAAAACCTCCGTGTTTCTTCTTTTCCTTGGCTCACTTTTACAAACAGAAGAGTGGGTCCTAGTTCCAGAATAGGAAAAACCATGTCAAACAACAGTTATCTACATCAAGTTCCTAGGTTTCATCGCCCTTAAATGAAACTTGTTTTAATTTTATGCACGACTTTCCATAATTAAATCCACTACTTAATAATTTTTTCAAAGTCACATTCAGGAACTGACAACTTAAATAATTTTTAAAAACTGGTCTCTCCAGAAAATGCTATTGTCAGTATAGTTGCTGTTTACATGGTGTATGACCTGGGTTGTAAGACTAAAACAAGGAGGCGGGTCCAGAGAACTGAGCACTTTGCCACCTCTGTCGCTTAGTTATCGGTTCCGTGAAAATAGCTTTTGGAGTTGGACACACCCCCTCTCCCCAAGTTAAGAGAAAAACTAGGTCTGGTTTCTAAGCAAGAATTCATTCTACGGTTCTCCCTAACTTTTTTTTATTGAAAAGGTAGCAAATCAACAGACAAAATCCCCAAGTACTTAGCAATGAGAATTACTCGATAACATGTATCCTTTTTGCCTCTGCCTCTTCCCTTAAAAAAAAAAAAAAGGTAACAGCCGTGGAGCCAAAACCACGACAGTGGGGACTTTTTATAGCGGCTTCTTAAGTTGCAAAACACAACTTCTCGAGGGAGGGGCGTTTTCTAGGCATCACACACGGTCGGGGAGAGAGGCTGATAATCTGAGAGCCCTAAAAGACCATGGCGCCTTAAGGCTAACTCACACCCCGAGGCGCCCGACAGCCAGGCTGAGCCCAGACGTGGACCCACCGTGAGGGCACAGCGGAGCAGGAGTGGCGGGATCAGAGTGAAGCACCACCTCCACCCCCGAGCTCCCCTGGTGACTCGTGCTCCCCTCGGCCTCTACGGCTCCAAGCCGATCCCTGAGGGCCGCCATCTTCCCGCCGCCGTCCCGAAAGCCTCAGTGCAACACAAGGAGGCTGAGAAAGAGCGCCGCCACGACCTGCAGGGACTCACAGCGCCCCCTCGCGCCTGGGATGAGCTACGGCCGCATGGGCGGAGGCCGCGCCCTGCAACGCAGTGGCCGCCAGCTCTCGGTTGCACCTAAGCGATACCTGTCACGGGAGAGAGCGACTGCCGGCAACCTGTTGGACCTGTGCAATAAGAGCACCTATTTTCTGCCTCACCCTTAGCTCCTGTAAGTACCCTAGTGTCGTAAGAATACAGCCAGGAGATGAGATTTGGAGCAAAGATTTGGTCGGGATTAAATCCAAAAGGCAGCATCATCACCAACAGCAACTGACGGGTCTGCTCTTTATGAAACCATCCTCTTTTCAAAATCAGAGGCACAGTGTCATCTTCTACCTTTTGGAGAATGTTTATAGTTGCACGTTATAGTTACATATCCATTGACATTTACATATTGTAAAGAAAGAAAGAAAACTGCATGTGACACAGCTGTCTACATAGAAAATCCCAAGGAATCTACAAAAATAACTCTGGTTTAAACTGAGTTCAGCAAGGTTGCAGGATACCAGATAAACACACAAAAATCTACTCCGCTTCTTATATACTAGCAATGATCACCTGAACAAAATTAAAAATAGAATACCACTTGCACCTGCTCAAAAAAATGAAATACTTAGGTGTAAATTAACAAAACATATACAGGAAGTGTATGGAAACTACAAAATGCCGATGAAAAAAATCATAAAAGATTTAAATAAATGTAGAGTCATGCCGTGTTCATGGATTAAATGACATGATAGTAGAGATGTTAGTTTTTCCTAAGTTTAGGCACAATACAGGTTTAGCTCAATTTTTATCAAAATCCCAGATTTTTGTAGATACAGACAAAATTATTTTAAAATTTATATGGAAAGTCAAGGGAACCAGGAGAGCTAAAAACAATTTGGAAAAAATAATAAAGTGGGAAGAATCACTTCAACTTCAAGACAAGCTGCAGTAAACATATGTACGGTTGTAGATGAAATAGTCAAATATCTCCTGATAGTATTTAAAGAATTGATAATACTCATACATATTTAAACTCACACATTTAATACTATGGTGTATTAATTTAGAAATATTGCTCTTTTCCATGCACATTTCATGCAACAGTTTCACTCAAATCCTTCACCTGCACCTGTAGCATCTGGTCTTTGACATAACGATTCCCCTTTTCAAGTTGTCCAACACAAATTATTGGCACTTCTACATCTTTAGGATAGGGCACTTACTGGCCCCATGTCTAATGATACTCGTGGAAATTTTATCTCAAGACCTAACTACTGGTTCTCATTAACACATCTATTTTAAAATGTTTAAACAATAGGTACAACTTTGTGAGCTTTAAAAGACTTATTTACGAAGCCTGAAATTAAATTCATAAAGTCGTAAAGTCATACCACCAAACATAGTTACTGAATCTATATTTTCTTATTCTCTCTTAAATAATTCTGATTCTGTGACACAAGCTTATGGAGCTTGCAGCTCAAACCGATATGGATTTGTAGCCTTTACAGGTAAGCTTCCCCAAACAGAAAAAGTACAACAAAGGTTGTCCAAATAAGGTCAATGAGAGAGCACCCCTTAGTGTGAGAGACTTGGAAGGTTTCAAAAATAAAGCAGTTCTCTCATTCCTGAGGGATAATTTGAGGAGAAAAAGAATCTCACCTTATATTCATAGTTGTATAGTAAATCGTGTATGTTGAATATTTACTAAAGAGGTCCTGAATATGAACAATAAGTTATACATATTTCATTTCATTGTCTAATAATATGTTTAGTTTGTACAGTAAAATTCTTTTAGTATATGTGCTGCCCAAGCGAGCACTGTACAGTAAAATTCTCGAGCAGCGAAAAACTAAGATATAGCAGGATCCTCCAAGGAAACCAGTGGCAGAGCTGGAGGTAGGCCCCTTGATGCCTGAGCACTGGGGTAGACCCCAGTTATACTCGCCCTCTCCCAAAGCACGACCCTTAATGCCCCTAAGACAGGTTCCAATTCAGCGACTGCCCCACCAGAGGATGTGGACAAACTAGTGAGCTTCCCATAGGGACCAGGATGTCTCACTCTTTGACTTTGTTAATAGGTTAAAAGCCCACCACTCTCCAAAGTGGTTGAAGGCAGAGGAGCATTTTATAATAGATGCCTGACTGACTTCTGTCTTCTGTTACAGAATCCAGACTTCCTTGGGGAAGCCAACCCTTGTTAATTTTAGCCCATGTAGTTTGAGAGGTACAAAAAGCCGTAAGGACTGGCTTAGATTTCGGCAGGTGACTTTGGGAATGGCTGAAAAGGGTGCTGTAATAGATTTTGTCATCTCATTGGCCTTCATAATATTGTCATGTGTCTGAAGGGTTCTGCTCTCCAGTCTTTTCAGGGCTGTGTTGTGCATCTATCCGGTGGTAGGCTGGTCCAGGTTCACCTTGGCCGGGGTAACTAAGCTCTGCTCCATGTGTCTCTCCTCCTCCTTGCAATGGACTGAATGTTTATGTCCCTGCCCCAACACACACACACACATGTTAAAATCCCTAACCCCCATTATAGTATTAGTAAGTAGAACCTTTGGTAGGTGATTAGGTCATAAGGGTAGAGCCCTCATGAATAGGATTAGTGACCTTATAAAGAGTCCCAGAAAGCTCCCTAGTCCCTTCTGCCATGTGAGGATACAAGTAGGAGTCTGTGACCCAGAGAGAGCCCTCACCCAACCTTGCTGGCACCTTGATCTTGGACTTCCAGCCTCCAAAGCAGTTGTTTTTAAGCTACCCAGTCTGTGACATTTCGTTAAAGCGTCTCTAATGAACTAACACATTTCTGGGACCAGGGGCTAGCTGGGCATGTCTCTCGTTGCAGAAACACAAGAGAACTAGGAGAAACAGGCAAACTTCTGGAGGCCTAGGCTTGGAGCTGCCACTGTCATTTCCTCCTCATTCTTTTGGCTCAAGCAAGTCACATGGCCAACCACTGTAAAGTTACAGGGCAAATGGCACGGGTCAAAAAGGGGCGAAAAATTGGGGCCAATGGCACAATCTATCACAGAAGCACTCTTCACTGGGATAACCAAGTGGCTGGTGGCAGTGTTTCCCAAAAGTTAAGGAGCACCTGCCTTAGTAAGAAGTCAAGAAGGAGAAAGCAGAACCAGGAGATAGGCATGTGTGATGAGCCCATGTGAGCACCTAGATCCAGCCATGCCTGCTGTTTTTGGTCATAAAAGGCATACATTCCTATATCTCCTTAATCCTGTTTGAGATGGGTTAGTTTTATCAATTACAACCAGGGATGCTGACTGGGTATTCTCTAAGGCTGCAGCCATAATATTGGATGGATGAATACATGTTTTGAAGCCCCTTTCCAGGCAAGACCAGCTAACCCTTCTCTCCAATCTCCCTGCCACAATACCTGTCAATCTGACTATCTTCCCCTCCATCTTTTTCCTCTACCTTGGGTTCTCCTGCTGAGACCCTTTAAATTAGGCTAACAAAAGACAGGTAAACAAGAGGAAAAAAAAAACAGAAGTTTATTAACCGTGCATCAAGCACACACATGAGAGCACTTAGAGATGAGTAACTCAAAGGGGTGATTAGAATGAGAACATATACAGAAGTCTTAACAACAACAAAAACCAATAAATTTTTAGAGACGCAGTAAGACAAAGGAGGACTTTGAGCTTCTAGGGGTGGCAAACTGTGAAAAGGCAAATATATAGGGAAACTAATGGTAGATAAAGGTTAATTTTAGCAAGGTTTATTGGGTGGATACCTCTGGTGTCCTTTCTGGACTGATGAGGGTCTAGAATTGGCTCCACTGATTAACTTCCGTCCTTCCTGGTAGAGAGGGGCAGGGCAGACCTCTTTACAGATTATGTCCTACTTAATTTAGGCAAATGGGGGAGGGCAGAGAGCATTCCTTGTATGTGCTTATTCTTAATTGCCTTCACCTCAAAATAATCCTTATGCATATTAGAGAGTGTCATATTCTGCTACCCTTCCATCCCTTCATTTCAGAGTCCGAGGCTTTTTCTATTGCATTTTTCTGTAGATTACATCAAATTCTGTGTCAGCGATGATCACTTGTCCTCTCTGAGACACAGACTTTCGGAATTTAAAGGTGATAATGTTTGTCCTCAAAATAAATTAGGGTGGATGCTGTCTAGTTAATGGGCAGCATTTTAGCTAGAGATTCAGAGAATTATGCATTTGCACCTCCTCACCCACAGCACGCATAGCAGGTGTAGCTAGATGTTAAATTGTTTAGAAACTCTGAGAGGGCAGGGGCGACCTTGCTGTAAACCAGCAGCTTGGTTTAAATGCAGTTCCTGATTACCTTTAAGTACCTCAATTTAAAACAAACACTTGAAGGGTAGAATAGCTTTCTGGATTGTTCCCAAAACCACACTGAGATAAAAAACGGTTTTATTCATCTTGACAGGCGTTCAGGCATCAGCGTCACTGAAGCTGGTTAAACCAGTTGGGTGGCTGGGGATCAGCCCCAGATGTGTATACAACTTTGACTCGGGAAAGGAGAGGCTACCTGATTTTTCCACTGTTTTCTCAGGCCTCAAAGGTTTCTGAAGCCTTAAGTGTCAGGTGGGAATAGGGTAACCAGAGCTGAGATGCAGCCAGGGTTCCTAGAGTCGAAGGTAAAATAAACAAATCCCTTTGCTTACAGAGTAGATTAGCTGCTTCGTTTTGATATCACATTCTTTCAGTTTCCAGATCTTAAAAAACCCACAAGGCGACATACAGAGGCACCAGTCACCAACTGCCAGGTTAGCATTTCATGGGGTGGAATCAGGTGTCAGGATTCTGAACAAAAAGCTTTTGAAATGTCGGTTAGTTTCTCAGGGAGTCAGGTTTGGATAAATCTCTTACTATTACCCAGTGACTTGAGGTGCCTTTTCCTCTCAACCCCAAACCGACCCTTGTTGCAAAACAAAAAACTTTAAAATAGGCTTTTGGG